AAGTAGATACTCCTTTATCACGTTGCTTTCTGAATTGCACCTCTACCCCAACAATGGACCTCAGATTCTGAAAATCCCTGTTTCCAAGTTCCACTTTCCACCTAATGTTCTCACTTTTCTTTTCTAGATAACCGTGTTGGATAGAATTTCTCATGTTTGAACTTTGTTTCAATCCCTTTAAAGAATATGCTCAGAAATGTTGGGAGCAAAGAAAGAGAACAATGAGAAAGATATAGATAGATAGATAGATAGATAGATAGATAGATAGATAGATAGATAGGTCTTCTATCTATCTTTCTTTTTTTATTAAGAGAGAAGGGGAATGAGAAGAGGAGAGAAGGGAAGGTAATCCCTTTGCTTATACTTATCCTGTCCTTGTGTCTTACATGAAGAATAGGATGAAAGAGAAAGGAGCCATCCCCTGTCCGTCCTGTGTTCCCCTCCCTCCCACCATAATGCTGATGTTTAATAAGCTTCCAGTCCCATTCTGATTTTCTTCAATCTTGAGTCAGACTTGCTTCTGTTTATTAAATATTTTTATTATAGAGTTGATATAAGTTGGGTAACAAGTACATTTCTTTCTGGACAATGTCAATCCTTTCTTCATTCTCTCCCAGGTTTTCCCTCCTGCCCCTGCCCACAAGTTGTATAGTTCACTTTCTGCATAGTGTCTAGTGAGTACCACTGCTGAGTCTTGTTTCTTAAAGGTGCTTTTATATCAGTGCTCTTTATTTATTCTCTTGCTAATCTGCTCTAATCCATGTAAAACTTTTTCTACAAATAAACCTATATATTTCAAAGGAAAAATGTACTTTAATTTACATATATATATATATAGTCAAGAGGGGTTTCAGTTACATAAGTAAGGTAATGAGTACATTTCTTGTCAACCTTGTTACCCCTTCTCTCAATTTTCTCATACTTTCCCTCCCCCCACCCCAACTCCAAGTTGTAGACAGTGTTTCCACCATGTACACAAGACAATATGTTGGAAATGGAAATTATCTGTACTTTAATTCTTAAACACTGACAAAAGGCCTTGCTTATTACAGGACTTCTCAAGGGCTTGATTAATACCTTGCAGTTACTACAGTAAATGCTTTATGTTAGCCTTCAGTTCTAAATTATATCCCAACAGAGGAAGGCATTGAATTGATTCTAGTTGCTCCATTATGATTCTTACTTTGTTTTGAACTTTGTTTCCAGAAAAATTTTAAAAGTAGTTGCATCTTGAGCTACAGTGTAGAACTCTTATCTCAAGTGACCTAAGAAGTTTTGTTGCACATTGTAAGCAGTAAATAAAAATACTTTGCTATTTTTGATTGGGAGACACTCATATTACGTAAAATTAATGTCCTTCTGAATTTGATTGAAATATTCTCATTGGAATTTTGTCAATATTATGCAAGTCATTTTTGTATGTATCTATTAGGTTTATTGTGACCGTCAATCAGGAATATATCCATTATGTTTGCAGATATTTCAGATTTTTTGTGTAATGAAATATCAGAAATGCTTTTAAAACTTTTCAATATTTTAATTAACTTAAAATTTTGATTCTATCAGCCTTTGACTTTTATATTTACATTGCTTTTATTTTGAAATTTCAATACAAAAAGAAGATTGGAGTCTTGTCCACAGTCTCACAGCTTGCATAGAGCAGAGGTGGGAATTAAATTTAGGAAGTTATCACCTACACTCTTAAATGCTGCACTACATTACAGTATGAAATAAGGAAGAGGCGACTTGCTTAGTGAAATGGGGATGTAGAAAATGTGAAAATGGCATGGAGTTCTTAGTTCAAGGTTGAAACAGAAGAAAAAGAGCCCGTGCTCAGGGTCAGCTAATGGCCAATCCAAACTACTACGAATTCTCCTGAGTCTTGCCAGTGAGGAGTGAATCATGAAGCACACATAAGAAGGAAAGAGGATTTCAACTTTTCAGCTCCTTTCATTTGATGAACATTCCAGATAAACTTGTTTGAAAAATCGCTAAAGGGCAGACAGTGTTTTCCACTCACTCTGCTTTGCTGCTACAAAGCGGCACATACCTGGAGAGTGAAGTCACCGCAGATACAAACTATTATTGAGGACCTCTGTGGTCGTCAGTGCTTTAAACTGATCCCTGAGCGTGAGCCTGGGCCTGGAGGTTATGTAATGAGGCCACAGGAAGATAATTTGACTTGCTGCTTAATTTTATTATTACAACCTAATCAGGATTGGATTGTGACATCTATTTTTCTGGTCTCAGTGACTGATTCATTAAAAATACTTAATAAATATTAACATGTAGTTAATCAAAGCTGAAAAGATCTACTGTGCTGGCTTTAGGAAGGGGTATATTTGTTTCGGCTCAGGATAAAGTCTGAAGAACATGGGCCCTTTATTCTCACCTTAAACCCTGATCTTTACAGGTGATGCAATTTCCTGTTTAGTAAGCTGCTTATTCATATTCAGACAGCCTGGTCTTCAATCAGCCTTAGACAGAAATGGATGATGGTGAATAACGCGTCGTCAATAACACTCAATTCAAAATTTTCATTTAAATGTCTAGTCCTCTTACTGTTCAGTGCTCATGTGAGTCATCCTTTGCAGTAACTGGGAATTTCCTGTTCTTTGTCTTTTTACCTGGGGTTCCCAAAGGTCTCCCAAATTACTTTACAGAAAAAACGGCCACCTTCCATACATATAAATTAGTCTAATGTCATGGGCAAATTTAAGCCTCTTTTGTTTTCTCTCATGAATATATCTTTATATATACATGTATATATCTAAATACCAATATATGTGTATTGGTAGTTAAGAAATCAAAATCAAGGATAACAAATTCTAAGAGAAAAAAGCTACCACAATTTTCATTTTATCTCAGGACATGGGGGCCCAATACATGGTTGGAAATTTATAGACTAGCCACACTTCCCATTCTTCCTCTTCCCTGCCCCCCAAATTGATAAACTACCCTTAGCTCCTACTTAAGCCTTCCAGTCCACTTCATCCAAAAGCATCCTTTGGATCCTCCGTTCTAAAACACCATGGACTTAAAAAAATATTTCCTGGGGTTTGTTGGGGCTACAGGAAGAGTTAGTTCACTGGAATTCAGCAACAAGCCTGGGAACTAAGTAGGGCCAGTAATGCGCTATCATTTATACCTCAAAGATGGAAGAGAACAGGTCTGGAAACATCCTGAGACTTGCCCAAAGGCATGTTTTCCTTTTTGAATTGAGGACTCGGCAGAACACAAGAACCTCAAGAGTCAAGAATATATGATCTCTCCTTTAAGAATCTTGCAACCTTAGAGGTTTCTTCATAATTTTATGTACACAGTGCAACCTCATACTACTGTCAAATCTGCACTTTATTCACTTACCCGGTTCCGTTAGCTCATTTATGTGTGCAGGTATATGTTTGTATGTTTGTATGTATGTATGTATGTACGTATGTGTGCATGCGTGTGTGTGTGTGCCCTGAGGTTTAATTTAGGAGCTCTGCACCTTGAGCCATGTTTCCATGGCTCCAGACATTCTGACGTCATCTGATTTCAGACAGGGTCCATGCTTTCTCCAGGGCCACCTCAGGCTGGAAGCCTGCAACTCGGGAGTTTCTGGTCTACAGGTGTGTGCCACCTCACCTAGACCACCTAGTCCTCTTGGATTCATGCAACCATTGTGATAGGATGATAATGGTCTTCATGCTCTGAGTGTCTTTGTAGCTGTGGGGATTGGGAAATAAGACACAAAGAAAAAATAAGCAAATGATAGCTGCATTATTTGCTTGAATATTATATGTGTGTGGGAGAAGAAGCCCCAGATTTAAAAAAAACAACCAGAAGGATTGCCAGTCATGGTGATGTTTGAGATAAAGAAGAGAGAGAGAGAGAGAGAGAACGAGAGAGAGAGAGCGCGAGCGCGCACAGGTTTAAGAGAATGACAAACTTAAACTGAGTCTACGGAACATGCAGAAAGGGTACGCTTCTCTGCCTTTCACCAAGTCTCCACTTGTGTCTGGAGATGAATGGTCAGACCTCACTTGGTACTTCTGAATTTGGGGCCTAAAAACCTAGTTTCAGAATTGGATGTGGGTAGAATGCAAAATGAAACATTCCCTGTTCTTTGTCTGAAGTGATACATATAGATGCAAAAGCATCTATTTATTTTTTACATGCACTTGTAGTTTTAAACAAGGTAGAGATAGAGAGGGAATTAAAAACCCACAGGCACAGAAACAAAACCTTGACTTCTTGAGCTCATTGTAGTGATCCAGTTTTGTTAGTTTTGTTTACAAACAAAGGCTTTGGCACCTTCCCGAGATGAGCACTGAGGACACACAAACCGCGGAAAGCCGGGTGACCTTCCCACGGAGCCTGCATGTCAGCGGACCGAAGCCAGGGAGGAGCGGCCTCGCCCAGCCTTTGCCCACCTTTGGCCCTGTGCCCAATAACCTCAGGAGCACAGCCGGGTTGGGTTTGGGGTGGACATGAAATCTTCCTGAGCACTTTGAACAGATCGGATCACTGATACTGATCTTCCTTGATCCAAGTAAGGACAGACTTTGTTTTGAGAGCATGAGGTTATACTGTGCCCTTAAAATCTGGAGCCAAGGGACCCAGTGGGATGGAGGGACAGAAGTGGGGGGAGGGGGGAGGGGAGTGGAGGGGGGAGGGGGAGGAGGGGGGAGGGGGAGGAGGGGAGGGGGGGAGTAGAGAGGGGGAAGGGAGGACGGGGCTTGGGGTGGAGTGGAAGCCAGGGCAGGTTGGAAGAAGAGGAAGGTTGGGTCGGGAAGGCCAAGGAGAGGGCAGGTAGAAGCAGGGGGGAGGGGGGTAGAGGCAGGAGGACAGAAGGGGTGGAGGACGGGCGGGAGGAGGATGGGCGGGAGGAGGTCCGGCGGGTGGAGGACGGAGGCAGGGGCCCAGCCCTAGCCCAGGCGGCTCCAAGCCCGGCGGCCACGCCCCAGCGCTGGGGTCTGAGCTGCGCTCCGGGATCTGGTGACACACGGAACGAATGAATGGGTGAACGAGTGAACGTCCCTCCCGCCGGGATGGAGGCCCCGGGGCCGCCGGGGCCCGCGGGTCCCCGGGACTCTGCCGGTCGCGGGGGGCGCACGGGGTTGGTCCCGGCCCCGGCCCCTCCTGGGCGCGCCGGCGCCCGCGGGCCCGGGTGGGCGGCGGGGGCCCTGGAGCGTCTGGATCTCGAGTCCTGGGTCCGGGAGAAAGTTCTCTTTCTTCTGGACCCTCGGCGGGGGCAGCACGCCGCGGAGGCCCCGGACCAGGGCGCGGCGGGGCTGCCCGGGGCCCGGGGCGGCGGGGGGGCCTGGGGCGGGCTGACCGCGGCCCCCCGCCCACCCCGGGCCCTCGGGACCCCGGGCCCGGCCCCCGCCGCCGCCCCGGCCCGGGGGCTGCTGGTGCGCGTGGAGGATTACCGGGAGACGCGGGAGGTGGTGCGCGCCGCGGGGGCCCGGGGCCGCGCCACGGCCTGCACCGAGGAGCGCGCGCTGACCGCCGTCACCTTCCGAGCCGGCCGGGACTGACTGACGCGGAGCCCCTGCGTCCGGCCCGCGGCGGAGCGGGACTCGAGCCGAGGACCCGAGCCGGCACCCCGCCCTGCGCGCAGGCTGCGGGCTCAGCCCCAGCAGAGGACCCGAGCCGGCACCCCGCCCTGCGCGCAGGCTGCGGGCTCAGCCCGGCCCCAGCAGAGGACCCGAGCCGGCACCCCGCCCTGCGCGCAGGCTGCGGGCTCAGCCCCAGCAGAGGACCCGAGCCGGCACCCCGCCCTGCGCGCAGGCTGCGGGCTCAGCCCCAGCAGAGGACCCGAGCCGGCACCCCGCCCTGCGCGCAGGCTGCGGGCTCAGCCCCAGCAGAGGACCCGAGCCGGCACCCCGCCCTGCGCGCAGGCTGCGGGCTCAGCCCCAGCAGAGGACCCGAGCCGGCACCCCGCCCTGCGCGCAGGCTGCGGGCTCAGCCCCAGCAGAGGACCCGAGCCGGCACCCCGCCCTGCGCGCAGGCTGCGGGCTCAGCCCGGCCCCAGCCGAGGATCCGAGCCGGCACCCCGCCCTGCGCGCATGCTGCGGGCTCAGCCCCAGCCGAGGACCCGAGCCGGCACCCCGCCCTGCGCGCATGCTGCGGGCTCAGCCCGGCCCCAGCACCGCTGGAGGAAGGGACTGAGGTCAGTACCGCTGGGCCGGGGGGGGGGGGGGGGGGGGGAGACTTTCAGACAGCAAGGGGGATCTGTAAAGAACACTTGTTGATCCTCACTCCGCACAGCTGTTATCCGACCTCCTCTGCCTGCCTGCTCCCCATCTTTCTCCAGGCCCCCCGTCTTTCTCCCATTCCCCCTGGCGGGGTCTTTCTCTCAGCCCCCCAATCTTTCTCCTGGCCCCCCATCTTTCTCCCAGCCCCCCATCTTTAGGACTGAAGAGCAGAAGCCCCCTTGGTTTGAGGCCTTGCTCCCCGGGGGAGTGGGTGGGAAGACGGGTTTGGTTTTTAAAGCTGAAAGAGGAAATGGACAGACGGGACACCCACCCACCGCGGGCAACAGGGAGTAGAGGGAGGTCGTCCCACGTTGCTGCCTCTCCGTTTCTAGGCACAGCTATGTGGCAGCGTTAGAAGAGGAGGCAGCAGCGAGGGACAGGAGGGAGGACCAAGTCCTGGGCTCTTCACCATCTACTGAAGCCCGGTGTGCAAAAGAGTTTGGGTCGGGACATCTAAACCATTTTTACGACCGGCTCCCATGGCTCATGTTGGTCATGCTAGCTTCCCCAGGGGCTGAGGGTCACAGTTTGAAGCCCAGTCCCTGAGACTCTTAACCTGCAGCCAACCAGCAAAAAGCCTGACGTGCACATATGGTGCAAGTGGCGCGAGCCAGCCTGAAGCAGAAAAGCCCAGCGAGACTTCGAGGTCCCGAGTTCAAGCTCCACTGCAAGCTGCTTATAATCAGATTTGCACATTAGATCTAAAGGTGGGCAGAAATACCAAACACAGGAGGCCCTAAGACCTATTCTTACCCATAATTCTTTCATAAAAATGATTGGTAGGCAAGAATGAATCGGTAATACTTGCCCACTGACGTTTACGGGAAATAGGTCGCTCCTGAAACCACTTTTCTTCTTTCGTGTGTTGCCCTCTGTATTCAGTACCATCTTCAGGAGCTGGCTAGTATTTGGTCTCGTTTGGAACTCGGAGGAGGGTTGAGAAAGATGAGCTGCTTGAACTTGCTACTTGCTGAAGGAGTATTTCACAGGGACAGTTAATTAGCCAAAGCAGGGGACTCTAGCTTTTGAGGAGTAAGTGATTGAGCAATGCCCTCTACCCTACTTCTTCCCATTTAGCCTCTGTTTTCTCTCTGAGCTTTCATCCCTTAAGTGAATAAAAAAAAACCCACAACATTTTAAAAATACTAATCTGACCTCCCTGTTAACTGACTGTGGAGTGATTATAGATTTCCTTTTAAAGCAGGGAACAAAAAGTAGTAGCTGAAATACCGGTGGATTTGCTTTACAGATGTTTCAGACCTCCCAGGACCTGGATGTATGCAGAGCCTGAGGAAATCTCTTATCACCCAGGAGAACAGGCTCGGGGGCCTTGTCATCAATAAGAAGATATCTCTGAGGATTGCTAGGTCTTAAGACCTTTATGTCTATCTCAGGGGGAAAAAAAAACGATCATGCAAAATTTCATCAAGTGGCTGAATCATATCACCGACTTCCATCAGGAAAGTGTCTATCTCCAAAAAACCCTTTTTCCACAAGCCTTCCCACTCCATTTAGCTCACTGCTTTTATTGTTGGGCATTGCCAACAAAGTGCTTGGTGCTAAAACTCAATATGACTCTTAAAAAGAAGAAGGAAAAGGTTTCAATTCAAAGAAAATGCCTGCTCAGGCAGAAAACATTGAGGAAATATTACTTTGTGGAGGAAAAAGAAGTTAGAGGGAAGAAAACAAAAACTCTCAACTGTTCCCAAATCTCTTCTAATATTTGTTATGTTTTCAGTATGGTTTTTATTGTATTTTTTATGTGTATACATACGTATGTACTTAATTTGTTCTAAGCATACATGACATCAAACAATAGCCCTAGAATAGCCCCTGTACATTTTCTGAATACTTAAACTAATGTACATATATGTAAGGTGTAGTTTTGAACCAGTGGCAGTGGACATTTCCAGCAAGGTTTGTAGAAAAGTAGAATTTCTGGCTAACCCTAGATCAGCCTTGTCAGAGAGTTTATATCTTGAAATGATCTCTGGATTATTCATATCAGTTTTACCTGCTTACCCTAGATCTCCCTTGTCAGACAAAGTTTATATCTTGAAATCATCTCTGGATTATCCATGACAGTTTTACCTGCTTACCCTAGATTTATCTTGTCAGACAAAGTTTATATCTTGAAATGATCTCTGGATTATTCATATTAAAGATTTACCTGCATTCACATTTTCTTTATCTTTAGTTCTGCCTTCACCAATGATCAAAACTAGAAAGACTTTTTCCCTGTATCCATTAATTCTATAGAATTATGGAAATCTTTAGAGATCACAAAGGGTAAAATACTATATGTAGCAGTCTGCAAAATAGCCAAAAAGAAAAAAAAAAGCTCTCTAAAAAAGGATCAGCATGTCTTTGCAAACAGCTTTTATTATTCTGATGTTTTCCCTGATGAACTGTTGATTGATTTCAAACTAATTCATATCTGTAGTTCTTTCATTCTCTAAAAATGTGAATAATATGCTCTCTGGAGCCCCGAGGCGAGGAGCTGTGGCAGGAAGTTATTAAAGAAGGCACAATTGCAACACTTGTGGGGGCTGAGTTAGGACTTGTGAGCTTCTCATAGTGAACTGGGAAAGGTGGAGCCTGGATTGTAGTCAACTGAATCAGGTACGAAAACAAAGGCCTTGACTCTTGAACAGCCTGACTTCCTAACCTCAGTCAGTACACTGCCCTTTAATTACGCAGGGCCAGTCTTTATGGATGAAGATAAGAACAGCACAGATTACTTTGGAGAGAGACAGGAGGTGGGAGCAGTTTTTGTGCACCATGCTGCCAACACTCACCAACAAAACGGGAGACTTAGACACATGTTTAAAGCCAAGAATTAAATAAAGTGGAATCAAAGATTTCTCATATTAAAGCAGAACAAGAGTAATGGGAGACTGTAGTGTTCTCAGACTAGGCAGAACAGAGGAGGTGTTCAGAGCTTGTTTGTAAGCGTGTTGGCCCACATCTCTTGTTTGGCAGAGAAGCAAGGACAGGTGAGCCTCTGGACAGCAAAGCTTTCCACTGCGTGACAAAGATAGACAGATAGACTTCTTATTCACCCTGGGCCCTGGGCTTCCCACTTCCAGCGTGAGAAATCTTTAGCTTGGAGATATGTCTGGCTCCTTGAGGTACAAACCTGATTTCACCTCTTCTCAGCCCTGTGTCTTCCTCTGGGGTTTACGATCCTCTTTGAAATGGAATCACCAAGGTATAGAGAAACCTACAACTCTCTGTGGATTCTAAGGGAGTTGTAGCTCAGTGGTAGATTCTTTTTCTATCATGCAAAAGGTACTGTGTTCAGAGCTTATCACTGCACCACTGCATGAGCTGAGACAGACAAAGAGATTTCACTATGAACAGCTACATATTGAATGTTATTCAGTGTAGTGACCAAGGGAAAAATGCTCAAGTTGTATCCGTTGTGATATTATATAAGGCTTACATCTTAAATGTACATTAGGGAACAATAAAATGTGATAATTTTTGTTATGTAACTAAATGTAGTTCATAGGTACATCATTTTACCGGATTTGAGTAGCCTTAATATGAAATGTATTCTTTTTTGTTGTTTTTATTTGTTTGAGTGTTTTGGTCCTGGTCCTGAGGCTTGAACTTGGCCTAGGTGCTGTCTCTGAGTTTCTTTGCTCAAGGCTTGTGCTCCACCCACTTCTGGCTTTTTAGTGGTTAATTTGAGATAATTGCTGCCAGGGCTGTCTTTGAACCTCAATCCTAAAATCTCAGCCTCCTGAGTGGCTAGGATTACAGGTGTGAGCCTCCAAGGCCCAGTTCTTGTTCTTGTTGTTGTTATTTTAAAAGTAAAGATCCACATTAAGAACGTAGGACTTTACCTGAGTACTATAATTAAATTTCCTTAATTTAATTCATCTGCAGTCATTTCAGTTTTATTGACATTTCTCCATGACTTCCCAACTATATACATAGAATTATGTTGATATCAGACTTTAACCAAAGGTTCAGAGTTACTGTTTGCTTCACTTTATGATTCTTAGTAAACATAGTTTTCTCCCCTGCTTCTGGTAGCACGTTCACCAAGTATGCCTTCGCCACTGTGTGATCACGTTGTTATAAAAATGGAAAGGCCGATAGGATTGTCACTGAATCTCAGATTTCCTGATCTCTGATCAAAGCCACTTCTGTTCCCCCAGCAATGAGAAGCAGTTCCATCGATTAATTTTCATATTGATTTCAGAATTGGCTGATGTGTTGCCCAACATACAATCATAAGGTAAATGCAATTAGAAATGTCATGCACCTACCCCTGAAGTGTATTCGAGCAGTAAACTAAGGTTGGTGGGCCCCGTTTTGTCATGAGTTACCATTTTATTTAGTTGATTGGAAACTCCTCATCTGCCTTATTCCCAAGATGCCTCGTGGAACATAGAGGCTCAGGACTGACTGACCAAAATGGTCTGTCTTTGCTCCTAGCCTGACTGGATCTAGACTTGTCTTTCTCCTGGCTTTACCCAAGAAATTAACTTTGTTAATTCTTTGTCTGTGAGATACGTCTTTTCTTTTTCTTTTTTTGGGTCCGGTCGTGGGGCCTGAACTCTGGGCCTGGGCGCTGTCCCTCAGCTCTTCAGCTCAAGGCTAGCGCTCTACCACTTGAGCCACAGCGTCACTTCCGGCTTTTTTTTCTTTTTGCTTATGTGGTGCGGAGGAATCGAACCCAGGGCCTCAGGCATGCAAGGCAAGCGCTCTACCACTGAGCCACCTTCCCAGCCCCCGAGATACGTCTTTTCTTTTTATGGTTTTTCAACTTTCACAGATCAAGACCATCTTTTATAAGGACTGTGGACCACCCCCCTCTTTCCATTTAAAATGGAAGCATCTAGGAAGACAGTTGCTACCTCCTCCTCTCTGTGGGAGGTAGAATGATAATTCCACCTGTCATAATTAGTAAGCACAGAGGGTCTGGGCCTGGCGGTGGTGTCAGTTCAGTGTACTGGATGAATCCCATCTATCTCACTTCTTCTAATGTCTTCCAGTGCTTTTCTCGCTATTAAAAAAAAAATCCTTTGTGCTTGAAGTTTCAGTGAAATTGAGCCCCAACCAGGCTTCTTCCAATACCCCTCAATAAAGTCTTGTTGGACTATTTGTCTTAGTGTAGTATAATTTCTGCTTTGTGGAGCGCTGGGTAAGAGCCAGGGAGATGTAGTTAGGCAGATGACTTCATAAAGTCTAAAGATGTTTTCTTGTCTCAGAGGACGCAGCAGTGTTTACTTTGCTAGCAGGGCCCCTTGCTGTGACTTCACTGGGATTTCCAAGCACTGGACACAGGGGTGTTGGGTTTTCACAGTGCCATCATGCCAGGAGCAGGAGCTGAGTCCTTTCTGACTTCAGCAAGCTGGCTGGGCTCAGGGCAATCATTGCTCATTAACCCCTCTGTGCTTAGTCAGAAGGAAAACAATGCTCTCAATGTCCCGTGTTTCTCACTTAGCAGCTGAACTCTCTTCATTCATCATAGTTTGATGATAGTCATGGGTATCCCAAAACAACATGACATCTAGTCTCCTGCACACAAACACCAGTTTGGGCTCTTGGTTGGCGGTACTTAGAAGACTGGAGGACCGTGTCAGTTTCATGTTTGAAGGAAAGCTCACAAAAGCAGTAAGCAGAGATTGCCTTTGTGGAATGTTCTGTTCATTTGCAGTCTTGGAAAATCAGAGTGATCGGGAGTTTGCTTCTAAGAAGTTAGCACAGGAACTCAGTCTAATCTGGCCCCAGACCTCCTGACGTGTTTGGTAGAACCTTATGGCTGGCAAAATGCCAGCCTGGGGCTTTAGCAAGCTCAGAGTCCAACCCCACAGCACAGCACAGGCCTCGAGAGGCACGGGTTGTGTGGTGAAGTCGAGATGGGGCGTTAGGCTCAGGTCCAGATGGGATTCTCCAGGGCGCAGCTGGAAGGTGAACTTCCATGTGAGGCTAGTGAAGAAAAGCCCCATCCTGCCCAGTAACTCACCAGCACATATCCAGCCACCCGAGGTCAGACGCGTTGCACGGTCCTCAGACATCAGCACAAACATCTCAACAACACTCTTCAATAAGACTGAGGCAGCAAGCTTTCTTGCTAGGCTTTTTATTAAATGGAAGCCATAATGATTACCTGCATTTCTTAAGATGTATTAAGAATGGACCTCTTGGGCTGGGAAAGTGGCTCAGTGGTAGAGCGCTTGCCTTGCATGTATGAGGCCCTGGGTTCAATACCTCAGTAACACATAAGCAGAAAATGCTGGAAGTGACACTGTGGCTCAAGTGGTAGAGTGCTAGCCTTGAGCTGAAGAGCTGAGTCAGTGCCTAGGTCAGAGTTCAGGCCCCATGACACACACACACACACACACACACACACACACACAGAGAATGGGCCCCTTTCTCTGTTTAAATAGAATGAGTTTTGTGTTTGTGCTTCCTATGAACACCAACAGTCTTCTCAACTGAAATGTAGCATTATTAAAAACTTGGGCATGACACAACTTAGTGGCAGGGCATTTGCCTAGCATCCATGAGACCCTGGTTTCACTCGAGCACTGGAAAAAATAAATTCTACCTTCCTTCTTTGCAAAGACTCTACAAGTCTTCTTTGTTTTTTTCTTTGATAATTGATGGTAAAACAAAATTTAATTAACTTTAATGCCATAAAAATTTTCAAATTAAGCAACAGATACAACAGCCTAAAAAATTCTCACACATATGTCTGAGACCACTCAAAAAGTTCTATTTTGTAATAAATTCTGGAAATCACATACATAGCTACTACGAGAAATTACATAGAACCCATCTGTGTTTGTGTTTCTTTGGTACCAAATCTAGTCACTTTTAAATGCTTTGTCTAGTCAAAAAGATTCCTCTAAAATACTTGTACCAGATATTCATCATAAATTTCTATTGCATTCATTCATCAAAATCTAATTTTTCTTCTGCTTTAGTGTCTGAATCTTGCTGACTGGGCTAGTCAAGTATTGCATTCTTGTTTTTCTGACAATGTGAAACTGACATTTTGTTACTTCTCTGCTTTTCTTTCAATCTAGTTCCTTTTTAATGTAAATGTCTGATGCCTTGAACTTCACATAGCTTTTCCTGTTTCCATGTATCAGTCTTTAAGCAACTAGTTCAGGTCTTGTTTAATGTTCACCAATATTCTTCCCACAAGTCTTCTTATTCCTGCTCCCTAAGGACCAGGCTAAACCTGTGGCTTGATTTATGTGCAGTAAGCAGACCCATAATGTGTCTCTTGCTTCTTTTGTTGAACATAAATCACAAGGGTTCTGAATCACAGTTGGACAGAAAAGTCTACACATAGGGGACATTTTTCTTACAACGCTTAGTAAGAAGGCTGTTTGCCTCAAGTAAAGTAAATGCAACCCACAAATGTGTTTAAATGTCAACAAGAGGCAGTATGCAGCTTGACTCAGAGACTGCCGTTGTTATCAAGGGTTGCCTGTGTAGTGAGGAGTCCGACAGGTAAATGACTAACTACAATAAAATTCATTGGCACCGGAGCAGCTGTGGGAGGCTTACTGAGTCTAAGGTTTGGGCTTCCATCTTTCCACCTGCTCAGAATGATTGCACAATCAAGTAGTGTGATCTAAACCGACAATAAGCAAAGCAACCCAGGCTGTTATATACCTTATATTTAAGCTTTAGTAACTTTCCTGGTGAAATGTTAGCTCCCCAGCAGGAGAAAACATGAATGATGATAGTTGACTCTTTAAGAATAAACAGCTGAAAACATAGGAAGCTGATCTTATTTATTTTAGAAAGAAATGCCACATGCAGAATTGGGAGTGATCTTGGGAAGCAATCAAAGACAGTTCAGGTCAGATAATCCCTTCAAAGAGCAAAGCTCTAAGTTTAGCAAGTAATAAACAGATGGCAAGAAAAAATAAGGGGCAAGCGCTTTCAGCACAAGCAGCGGTGAGGATGGCGGCTGTGGGGACACGGTAGCACCGGTGGTTGATGCAGAATGACAGCTTGAAAATTGTTTTAAGAAAATAGTATTGCACCATATAGGTTTCCTTGATGAAGTCAGACAAGAAGTTGTAACTCCTGAAGTAAATAGGGGGAAGACCTTTGAGATTGGGCCACTTTCCTAAATCTGGAATATTGCTACTTGTCTTAGAGTCCAATGCAGTCTCTTAGGTTGAGGGTGAGAAGAACCAACCCCACGCCTGGATACAAAGTTGGTGTAGGAGTGATGCCAGCCAACAGAGCCTTATCACTGGGCCAGTGGAATCCCTCCATATTCCTTGAGTCCTTACAGGAGTAAATGCAGGAACTCATCATCAGTTCTGGAAAAAAAGAACTTACGTGTGATCAAAAGCATTGCTGTACCTCTTCTCCTTGGAGAGTGAGGTTTGGAGTGAGATGTAGTTAAAATACCTTCCAGAGAGCCCCTCCAGGATAACATTAGAAAGTGTCTAAAGGAATTCTTTTTCTTGAGCTCTTGTTCCAGATGTGATATTGTAGTTTTAATTTAAAGCCACCATGACTTGTAACATTTTCTCACGTCATTGTGGTGTGTGTGTGTGTATGTGTGTGTGTGTGTGTGTGTGTGTGTGTGAGAGAGAGAGAGAGAGAGAGAGAGAGAGAATGTTTTTTGTGCTTGACATTATCACCTGACCCTGAAATGACTTTAGTGAGTTTAGTCAGGTAGCATTTGTGCTATTTTTGCAGATAGTAAGTATGCAAAAAGGAATTCAGAATGAGGATATTCAAGCAAAGGTATAACATTTCTAACTTGACTAGTTTTAAAATAAAAAAGTGGTAACCAAAGTGCTATTCCTTCTTTGTATCTATACATCTCTCTCATTTTCCTTACATAGTTTTCTTGCATACATTGTTTCATAAACTTATTTTTAGAGTCTTTGGATTAAAGACCTGATGTATACATTAAAACACGGGTGCACTTAGGAGGCGCTGTTTTCTATGTAAATCTGTCTATTTGGGGGTCATTTTTGAGAATATGCATCAGATGTTCACTCTGTACTACCCACTGGCAAAATTACTCTTGAAGTCCTGGAAAAGAACCATTTGACCATCTAGAAACCACTCACATCCCTGTACTGAAAAAATTATTCAAGTGTCAAGAAATGGCACAGGATATAAAGACACTTTTTTCCTGCTGGCTATTTGAGACCATGCGTGTATCCGCCATGGCTTGCATGCCTCCGGATGCTGCCCTTTTTGTTTATTTAAACTTGACTCTTGGTGGTGAAGGAAGTGGGTGCACAGGCATGGGATTTAGACCTCAGGTTTCTGCTGCCGGTGGTCCTCAGGCTCAGGGAATCGATTGTCAAGTTCTCTGTGCTTAGGGACCTAGGAGCAGAACAAGATTGGGGCATGTCAGTTCTGTTCTTTTCTTGGGCCTGTCAGAAGTTAGTTTTGAAACAGATGTATTTTCTTACAATTGTTATCCAAGCTTAGAACAGGCTGAGAATAGAGATAGTTTCTGTTGAGGAGAAATAAAAGAACAAGAATATCAATCTCATTCACCTTGACTATGTTTCCTCTTTCCTAACCTATAATCCGTGACAGTGCTTATGAATTTACCCGTCTCAATCTTTTAGAGCAATTGTCGGTGGGATGAAGAGGTAGAAAGCACAGGTCAGGAGGACACTGCTGTCTTGTTATTTGGGGACCTTTTAAGGTGCCCTGACTTCAACCTTAAATATTCCATTGCATTTGTCTTTTCCATTTAGAATTCTATCTCACCCTGTTTCTCAGGACCGCTGTTGATTTAATGAATAGATATTTTTAAGGATAGGAGTGAAAGGACTTTTGTCAACTGAGTTCTATCTTTTCTTCATTTGATTTCTGCTTTGGGGAAGTACCATGCAGCTCTCTCACTAGGAAATCAATGCTTTGATTTCATGTACATAGAACCAGTGGAGAATGAAATAAGGATAGTAAATCTAAGTAATGGCATCTTGGCAACTTAATAGAAGACTCCATCTTCTATTAACTTCTAACAAGATGTCGAGATAGCATTACTTAGATTTAGTATCCTTATTTCAAATTCTGCTGCTTGCCGGATGGGCCACATTGCCTCTGTTCTGTCTTGGATTGAAGGTCACACTACTTTCATCATATTCCCCTCAGGCATCAAGGTGAGTAAAAGTTTCATGCGTGCTGCCATCATTTACATTTCTGTTTGGAATTCTGTTCAGTACCTCCCAGTAAACAGAATCATCATAACAGTATTGATCAGGTGCCTGGTCCCAGATAGGTATCCTTAGGATTAAACCTGTAAAGACAGAGGGAAACCAACTCAGATTATGGTGCGGAAGTGGAAAATCTACTTGCATAATCAGAATATGCTGTGAATCCATCCCCTTGAACGTTCACCTTTGCCACCGGAAGTTTAGAACATTTTTTAATCTTCAGTTGCCTTATTATGTGTTCATTATTCTGTAGACATTCAGGCATAGGGAAGTGTTCAATTATTTTAAAAAATATCTTTTGAGACAAGGTCTTAAGATGTGGGCAGAGCTGACATACACCGCACAGTCCTCTACTCAGCCTCCTGGGTAGCTGGAATTAGAGCCATGTACCACCTCACCCACGTAAGCATTCACCTGTCATCACACCTCCAACCACCGCTGTTCCAATGGAAGAACCCAGGGCGGCTGCCTGCATGGCCACCGAGGACCTAAGGGGCCAAACAAGGAAGAGTGAGTTATTTCCTGGACACCAGGGAACAAATCTCGCCTACCGGAGGCCCGATGGTCTGCCACCTGCAGGACAGAGGTCAGCACTGCACACTAGCAGCTTGTAGGCTTGGTGTCACAGTTCCCGTCTTAGATTTTTTCTTTCTTTGAAACACCTTCTGAGCCGAGTTAGGAAAATTCTTAGACATGCTCAAACAAGAACCACTTTTTTATGATGTAGCCTCAGGACAAAATCAGATTGTTCTTACAGAGAAGTTAAGACTCTCCAAAAATCGTTTGACTGATTTGCTCCCCTCAGTAAATAATGATGGAAGACCAGCTGTGCGCTGGCCTCTCTCCTAGATGGAAAGAGGGGAGAGGCGTAAAACACACACGACTCCTGTTTCCTCACACGCTGTAGAGACAGTTACTATAAAATCCAGATACTAGAGCCAAAAAGCAAATTTCAGGCTACTGGATAGAATTCAGTAACAATGTTTAAGTATGTGTCTGCTCCACAGCATCTACGGTTATCTGAGGATGAAACTAGTAGGAAATTTCTATAGCGGAGGGAATGGTAGGATGCTGTACAAATTGAGAGGCATGAAGTTGTTATAGGAGACCCCTGCGCCCTGGGGGTGTGGGACTCGGGACCCTCTCACAGCAGCTAATTAACAGAGCTGTGCAGGGAGAAAAAATGGGGATCCAAGGAAAGCCAATGGTCAGAACATGCTAATTCTGCTCTCTCAGGTAAACGAGGAACCTGGACTGGACCAGCGAGAAGGAAACCCGTTTCTTACTCACTTGCTGGACATGTTCATGGCTATGGCCACAATACTGGCCAGGCCGCCCATCACACCCGGTAAGCCGTGCAGATTGTGGACGCCGCATGTATCTTGGATCATCAGCTTAGCAAGCAGCGGCTACGAAGGTAAGATGAGGAAATCTCATTCTTTTGGTAGCTATATCTAGAGTTGCCCAACTGAATAATTTCAGAAGCTGCTTTTTGTTCTTTTTGTTGGTGTTATTGTTTGGGGTTTTTATTTGGTGGGGGGAGGGCTTGAACTCAGGGCCTGGGTTCTGTCCTTAGGCTTTCTTGCTCAAGGCTAGCACTCTACCACTTTGAGCTGCAGTACCACTTCCAGTTATCTCATGGTTCACTGGGGATAAAGGGTCTTATGGGCTTTCCTGCCTGGGCTGGCTTTGAACCATGATCCTCAGATTTCAGCCTCCTGAGTAGCTAGGATTACAGGTGTGAGCTTGCACCCAGCCAGAAGCTATTAATAAAAAAATAAGTTGAATTTCATCATGGATATGCAAGATAGGTCACACGATATTGATTAGAATAGATAGATAGATAGATATAGATAGATATAGATAGATAGATAGATAGAGATAGACAGAGATAGATAGATAGATAGAGATAGATAGATAGATATAGATAGATAGATAGATAGACAGAGAGAGAGAGAGAGAGAGAGAGAGAGATTCTATAGAAAGGTTCCTACAGTGAAGCAGAGAATCATCTTTGTTTGTTTGGGGGCTGGAGGAGCTAAAAATTACCCACTCAATATGAATTCCATAGATTTAAAAGATCGTATAAAATGCCATAGAACACTTAAAAGATCTGTGTTCTTCCTGCCCTCGGTTGTTTAACCTATGCCACTTCTACTTTGCATTTTCCCATTTCCATCTTAACCCAAAAGAGGAGAATCTTATCTGTAGCTTAACTCTCCGCTGTACCTGAAATCCACCTGAGCCAAATAATCTGAGGACACTGATGACAAAATCTCCATGTCGTTCTGCGGAAGAGTTGTGGTTTCAGATTCTACTCCTTCTCACCCTGACCACACCTCGTGTCTCTTACAAGAGCACAGAGCCCTTCACTGTACCAATCTACATCAAAGCAACATCCTCAGGGGGATGTCCTGGAGAAAAGCAGCACACAAGTCGGTAACATTGACTTTGTATTGAATGATGAATAACTGGCATGGCCTCTGTCCTGTTACCCACAAATCATTGTGTCACACACTGACTGAGGTGTGTGTGCATGTGGTACCTCAGAAAGGAAGGGAAATGACATCCAGGAGGAGAGCTGCTTGGGGAAGGGGACTGAGTGCCCTGTCTCTTTATCTGCTGCTGGAATGTGAGAAGAAAAGGCTGTTGATTTCAGATTGCGCTCAGAACACCTCTCCTTACTTACAGTCAGGAACTTGTATCCAAGCACAGAGACGAGTCCCGCTGTACTCCCGATGATCATGGACACGTACGGCTGGATGTCCATGTCTGCGCAGGTGCCCACTGCCACGCCCCCGGCCAGCGTGGCATTCTGGATGTGCACCTGTGCGGAGGAAAGGCCGTGTGTAGGTGGACTGGAGGGAGGCAGATTTCAGTTCAAATAGGTACCAATATTAAATAATTTAAAATAATTTGAGTGGGATCTTAGGTTAGAAAAAGAGTAGAACAAAACTATTAAAAAAATAACATAACCATTGTTAACAACAACAGAAAAGAGAGGCTGGTTTTGTCAGTGCAAACAACCAAAACAGTACTTGCTATGTTTCTTCCCGGGGTGCTTTAGGAGTGAATTCGTTAATAATGAGATCATTGGTTAGAAAAAATGGACAGAAACTGTGTGAGGAGTTAATACCCCAGCAGGGCCTGCCTACTCATGTAGCTTTCAGGTAAAGTTGTGCTTATGACAAGCCAAAAGAAGACTGTGACTGAAGTGTAGTTTTTAAAGTCTGTAATAATGCAACATCAAAGAGCAAAAGTCAAGCCAGGGAAGCACCCAAAAGAACGTCTGAGGAAGGAGAACAACAGATCAACTCACGTCAGCAGAACTCTCAGAACTCCCCAATTTGGCTTAGGAGGAGATGGTCCCTCATTTTGAGAGAGACCCACACCTCTGTACGTGAATGACCTTATTCATTGTCTCTTAGTGTCCCTAGTAATGTGACCAAAAGAGATTTGAAATGCCTGTCCTCAACCATTCTTTAAGAAGTAAACTCTAGTATCCCTTTCCTCTCCCACAGCAGAAGAAGAGGAGAGTGATTTCTTTAGCTCACAGGCAAGGAACTCCAAGAGACCAGCTGGGGTGGGTTTTGAAACTATGTTACTCTGACCTAACTCAAGGCATAAAAGTTGCAAAAATACTAAAGATTCCACATATCCCTCATCCATTCCCAGTAGTGCTGTCGTGTTACATAACCTTGACAAAGGAATTAGAGTTAATTCAAACCTATTAAAGACACTATTTGAATTTCACCCACTGATGTTCTTTCTCTTTTCTAAAACCCCACCCTGCATTCAGTTATTTCTCTGAGAGGAACACTTAAGTTGGGAGATAGCATGCCTCATCTTACTGTCTTTTCCTACTCTCTGGCAAGTCTTACATCTAGGGAAGATTTTCTAAGACCTTGGGATCAGTTATCTCTCATTTTATTTTACTTTATTATTTTTTTGTGTCAATTCTGGGGCTTGAACTCGGATGCTGGGCATGATCTCTGTGCTTCTTTTGGCTCAAGGCTAGCATTCTACCACTTGAGCCACAGCGCCATTTCCAGCTTTCTTTCTGAGTAGTTTATTGGAGATTAGAGTGTCACAGACTTCCCTGCCTAGCCTGGATTTGAACCACGATCCTCATATCTCAGCCTCCTGAGTATAAAGAATTAGAGACATGAGCCATCAGTGCCTGACAATTATCTCTATTATTAAGGAGACTTTTATCTCTGAGTCTAAAAGGCCTACATTCTTTACATGATTGTAAAGTCTATAAATTCCTCAGGAGTGTGTCAGTTTGTTAGAGTGTGAATTTGATGAAAGAATGATTGAATGGAGTGAATATTGTATTAAAATCCTCTCCCCAGCTTGTCTGTGTTGTAATGTTTCCTGTACCCAGCAGTGATGCAGAACTGACCTGGTTATCTGAGCAATCCTAAGTGCATTTTCCACTGGGAGGAACAGGACTTACCATGTCAAGCTTGCCTCGGTGCTGGACCAGGCTGGACAGAGCATAGGCAGTGATCACGCAGGCAGCGAGGGAGAAGTACGTGTTGACGATGGCCCTGTACTGCGCCTCTCCAGGTTCAGCAATGGCTGAGTTGAAGCTTGGCCAAAATACCCATAAGAAAACAGTCCCTGCAACACAGCAGAAGGGATGTTAGTTCAGAGGGAAGACCATAGAAGAAAGGCCGTTTTCTCTGGGTACTGAGTATCTAACAGTCAGAACAGAGGAGTGTTCAAAGGAGTTTCCTATCTATGCATTTATTTGTACTGGGTTGGAATGCAGGACTTTGCACTGGCTTGACAAATGCCCCCAGCCCAGAGATTTCCTTTGGGGCATCTTCATGTCCACGTTGAAGTTAAACTTCCTTCCAGGTCTCATCCAATAGACAGACAAGAAGCAGACAAGTTCTCTCCACTCACCAATCATTGCAAACAAGTCTGAGTGATACACAGATTCTTCATTCCAATGCCCCTTTTTCAGGCCGGGTCGGTATAAGATACCAGCGACAGCCAAGCCAAAGTAAGCCCCAAACGCATGGATTGTCATTGATGCACCAATATCGGAGGCCTGCAAGCACACAATGGCACTCAAGTAAAAAGATACAGAGTTGAGTCTTTGCAGGAGGAAGGAAAATGTTCATGATTAAAGAGAGGGATGTGGAAAAAGGGAGAAAAGAAAGAGAATGTGAAAGAAGAAGAGAACCATAGGAGTGGACTGGAAAGCGCCACAGCAGCTGACTTCCAGTCTGGATCAGGTATTTCCTTGAGGTGTAGCTAGCTAGATTATTAACGCGGAATCTTAGGGTTATACAATGGGAGACATTCCCAGTGTGAGAACCTTGCTTTACCTTACCGTGGTTTCAGGAGACTGAGAGGCGATTAGTAATGCTTGAACTTGATAGGTACCATGTTAGTCTGTGTCTGTCTTTAACTATTCAAATATCAGTAAGCAAAACATCCTTCCTTCCTTCCTTCCTTCCTTCCTTCCTTCCTTCCTTCCTTCCTTCCTCCCTCCCTCCCACCTCCCTCCCTCCCTCCCTCCCTCTCTCTCTTCCTTCCTCCCTTCCTTCCTTCCTTCCTTCCTTCCTTCCTTCTTCTTTCCTTCCTCCATCCCTCCCTCCTACCTTCCCTTCTTTCCTCCTTCCTTCCCTCCTCCCTCCCTTCCTTCCTTCCTTCCTTCCTCCCTCCCTCCCTCCCTCCCTTCCTTCCTTCCTTCCTTCTTATCTCCCTTCTTTCCTCCCTTCTTGCATTCCTCCCCCCTCCCTCCCTTCCTTCTTCTTTCCTTCCTCCATCCCTCCCTCCTACCTTCCCTTCTTTCCTCCTTCCTTCCCTCCTCCCTCCCTTCCTTCCTTCCTTCCTTCCTTCCTTCCTTCCTCCCTTCCTTCCTTCCTTCCTTCCTTCTTCCTTCTTCTCTCCCTTCTTTCCTCCCTTCTTGCATTCCTCCCTCCCTCCCTCCCTTCCTTCTTCTTTCCTTCCTCCATCCCTCCCTCCTACCTTCCCTTCTTTCCTCCTTCCTTCCCTCCTCCCTTCTTTCCTTCCTTCCTTCGAAATAAGGTACAGTTTCCTATCCCTCTTTCTTCCCATAATGTATCGTTTGTGTCTGTGGGTGTGTGGGGTGTGTGTTAGTGTAGATTTGGAGTGATCCTCTAAAGACCCATGTGTTGTGGGTGGGTCCCCAGTGCATCCATGCTCACAGGGGCTTTGTGGAAGTGACTGATCAAGGTTTCATGGATGGGATTGAAGGGGATGAGCATGTGGAAGGGGGTGACACCGATCAAGATGCACTGTGTTCATAAACTATTAAACAGCACCTCCTTTGTACAACTACTTAAAGATAATATTTTTAAGATTGCATGACTGGGTTAATCCATTGGTCGATTCAGAATGGAATGGATTATTGGGGAATGGGGAAAACATGGGTGGTGGGGCCTGGTTGCAGTTGGTTACTGGAGGCATTGCCTTAGGGTTTGTATCTTTTTCTTGGTCACTTTCTCTTGTTCTGCTTTTTATCTTGTGGTGAGCTGCTCTCCTCCTCATGGTGGTTCACCTCAGGGTGAAGGTATCATTGTTTAAGTTTTGTTTCTCTCACCAGCGACCAGCTCTTAGGAAAACAGGAACCTTAACTCTTTTGTTGGTTGCCAAGTCACCAATATCCAGAATGGTAAAGTATTTCCCCCCTCCAATGAGATGTAAGTACAAATAACAAAATAGTGGAGAGTGGTAAGAAACCTCTAACTTCTTATCTTGGGATAATCAATGACATTTTCAAGAAGGGGGAAGAAATTTGACCTAGTCCACAACAGTTCTGTGTATATGGCTTTATACACGGCTATTTACCTTTATAAATGGGAAGTGACCATTGATGTAACAAAGGCTTGGGTGCTGGATGAATAAGGGTTCAAATGCAGACTAAAGGGAGTCATTTAGCCTGCGGGGTCAGCAGTTCTATTGCTCACAAACATCACCGACAACAATATCTACTTTGGAGAGATAAAGTGACGTAATGTGTGTCCAATTCAGGCTTGGCTGTCCGCACGATGCTGTGTCGTCTTCTCAGCTGGCTTCTCCCCTGTGTGGCCTGGGTAGCTGTCACGTGGCATGACCAGAAACGGATACGTGAGTTCTCTACACTTACCTTGAATATCTCACCAACCAGATACTCATTGCCAGCGAAGACAGCGATTTCTAGAATTGTCATGATCAACATTTGGATGGGGCTGGTTTTTCCCAAGACGGCTCCAAAAGAAATCAGGACTGTGGCTGTACTGAAGTCTGCATTTATCATGCTGAGGGAAGGAGAAAAATAAACAGAAGAGCAATGCCTACCTAAACCAAAACTATGAGAACAAGGCTGGCAGGCCCCTGACCCCCGCTCTGCCCCCGCAGGCTCTGCCCCGCGGGGCCTCAGCAGACACTTCCCATATCGCCCCACTGCCTTTCCCACTTTCTTCCTCTCTCTTCCTTCCACTGCACTTTCTTCTTCCCCTACTGCCTTCTACTCTATGACAAGGAATTCCTTGTACCCACTGGGTCAAACTGGAAAAGTTATAGACATTAATGGATGATCCATCCCAGTGGAGCGAGGCATTGATTTGGAGTCTTGGATTTCAACCACTCCAGGGTTGTTTGAGGACACAGTCAGTTCAAAGCCTGGGTAACAGTGGGTGACCTAGGAACACAATTGCCAACGGGGCACCTGTTTGGAAAGTAGAGGGCCGAAGTAGTCTTTTTTGGAATGCTGTAACATAATGCCACACATCAGGTAGCTTGTAACTGACAGAAAGGTATTTCTCTTAATTTGGGGTTGGGAGGTCTGAGTCAAGAAGCTGATAGAGTTGGCGTCGGGTGAGGAGAGAGGCCCGCTGCCTTCTAGCCAGGTGTGAATGTGGCGGAAGGCATTGACATCTCCCCAAGGGAACTTTGTGCAGACACGAACCCCTTTCCACGGGAGCCCCCCCGCCCCCGGACTTCATGACCCTCGGAAGGCCTTACTCAATAGCATTGCGGAAGTGGTTAAAATCTCAGCATATGAGTTCATGATGTTGGGTGTAGAGGGTATACCAACGTTCAGAGCTCAGCAAAGACACTCACTTGTGGATTCCAATGGCAAATCCCTGGCCATGGCTGTGGAGCAGCCCCTGTACGACAGAGCCCCACTGGAGGCCGAGAGCAGCCAGCAGGAGGTTGAATCCCACACCACTGAAGCCATATCTCTTCAGGAAGGTCATGAGAAAGCCAAAGCCGGCAAATATCATCACATGCACATCTTGAAATACTAAAAACAGACACCAAAAAAACCAGAGAAAACACGTCTTTATGACAAGAACACAGGGTCGGAGTTACAGTTTGGTCTATCCAGTTGATTAAGCACCACCAGCTCTGAATAAAACTCCGCAAGGGGCGAGCATTGGCTGGAAACAGTGAGCAGGTGATGCCTAGCATCGCACGCTGCTATCACATCACGCCAGCATGGCTCGCTTATCTGCTGTGGCCAGAACTTAGGCCCAGGGTTATGGACGCAGACAGCTAGTGTCAGTCGGGCTCCCTGTGGCAGCCATGAGAAATTAGGCAACCATTCAATGCTCCAATCTCTTCTTGGGAAGTGACTTCTTCAATTTTTACGATTTTCCAATCGAGGAGAGCCTGGTAGAAGCCAGTGCAAGCTTCCTCTCCTCTTTAGCCATTCTCCCAGTACTCCAGGGAAAATGACTATTGAATCTTGCCTTGTGCATAGCTTTATCCTTTGTCATGAGGTAGCACCATTTATTTAGAATACATTACACTATAATAGTCAGTGAAGTGGACATCTTTTGTACTATATTGAGGGTTCTCATATATACATATTTTCACATATACATTCCATATTATGTTGTATGTGCATATAAACACATACATGTACACACATGCTCACATACATATATGTATTGTGGTACCAGGGATTGAGTCCAGGACCTCATTGCATGCTAAGCAAATGTTGTACCACTGAGCTACAACCCTAGGCATGTTTCTTAATAGATGGGGTTAGGACATAGTCATTTAAGTCTGTAGGTAAGAGACAGACATGTTTGGTGGATGAATGAAGAGCTGAATGAGTTATTCTCCATTTATCAAATTCATATAACCACATCAGCTCTGGATTGTTCACTGAGCTGAATAATGCCTTTGTTAGTATTTATAAACCAGGAAACTAAATAAACTGGTATGTGCAGGCACACTGAGCCCCCATGACTAAATCTTTGACTGCTTTTATCCACAAGAGGGCATAAGAACCTCATCTATTATTTAAGTTGCTACAACAGCTTGGGAGAATACCTAAGCTCCTGGGTTTGGATAAAGTGTTTACAATCAGTTCTTTCTTTTTGGGGAAGACAAAGGAGTCACTGTCTTTCTCCCCTGAAAATCCAGTAAAATAAAATACTATTCACCTAGATTGATCAGTTACTAGTATTTTCTTTATATGATGGCTCTTTCTCTCTACATATATGATATACAGGCATACACATTCTCCTAAACTGCTTGAAAGTAGGATGACACTTTCTCCTAAACTACATTAGCCTGTCATGTAAGTAAAAGACCATTCTAGATGACTACGAAATCATCACCACGTCCAAGAAATGCAACATGGACACATACACATCATATTATCTTATATAATTATATGTAAATGAACTACATTTACTCACAAACTACCCTTTTATACAATTTTTGACTTATTTTCCATGCAAGCTTTATATGCTTTTTTGTCTTTAATGCATCTTTAGACATTTCTAAAATAGATCAGTCCTTCCACGTGTTGGCGTTTCTGACTTGTGGCATTGTTTCACCTCTTATACATATGTTTGTACTTTGGATTTGTTTGATTGATTCACCATGATTGGCTCCCACATGGTGTTGTGTCACCTTTTATGCAAAGGTTGTACTTTGGCTTTGCTTGATTGGTTCACCATCACACTAAATACTTTGTCAGGAATATTATATGGTGGTATTGGGTACATTGGCTCCTGCCAGGTAGACTGTAATTTGTCTTTCCCATTACTTGTCATAGTGAGTTTGATCATTGGGTTAGTCCTCGAGCAGTGATCTGCTGTAGCTCCATTGCCAGTGTCTACCTTGTAAATGACAACGGGTCCTCAGAGTGATTCTCTCGGAACGTGGGAGTGCTAAGTTCTCCACTCATTTCCACCCAAACGTTCTCGTAAAGCATCCCTGAATGGTGTCAAAATTACCTCGCTTACACACATTACTAGCCAAGGGTAAGACGTGTGCTGTGGTCATGGAACTGTACACCAGAGCCTAGAAACTACATACGTCGCCAGGCTACTGAAAAATGACCACTTTTAGTAATTTCCCTCCAGGTTTTTTTTGCCTCAAATTTTACATTTTACCTAGGGGCTTTTATATTGGGACTTGGGTGGGCTAGCTGGAAGGATGCCAGTTATTCAGCTCTCTGAATCTTAGTAGGAATATCGAATCTCACTGATCTTATACCAGATTTATGTCCTGTTGTTTATTATTCTGGGCTGCATCTTATTCCTTCCATCCATGGGTACTAGGTGGTAAGCCTTACCATGAAATGGTTGTGTTTGTTTCTATCTCTGAACAAATGCTTGATACTTAAAAAAGTATATATATGTGTATATATATACATATATATATATATGAAATAATTGAATAAAACACACGAGGCATACAGAATTCACTACAATCCTGGCTTATTGCTAACTTTCAGATTATACATGCCCAGTGGAAAGGCAAGTGGATACGGCGTCTGGGTGTCTGACGGATGAGCCCAGCGCTGTTCTGCACATCTAACTGTTCTCACATCTGTTTCATAGTTTTTGCTAAGTCACTCTAGGTCAACATATCTGTACATGGAAGTTCCCTATTATGTTATGGCAGCCAAAAATGCAGGAATGAAAACACAGTGTTATATCACTAATCGGTTACATTGTATAATCATCATTGCTAGTTTTAAATAAATTCTAAAATTGTGTTTTGTTTAAAAGTAAGTAAGCTATGTAATAAGTGTGTCTTACTATCTCCCTCTCTCAATAGCAAGGTAATGAACAGGCCTGGCTCATAATTAGTACACAGTTATTATATAGTTATAATTTTATAGCCCTTCTAAACTAAAAACTCAGTTTCTCTCTTTTTTTTTGTTAGCCACCATTCCCAGGGAAGGATTCTGCTTTATGATATGTAAAGTGCACGCAATTTTCTTTGTATCTCAGAGAAACAAACTGCTCTTGCTTCTCAATATTATAACCCCCTGAGCTCATCCTTTTCAATGACCACCCCAGGAACTTCTCACATCCTCCTAAGCACCCCCTCCTCCCCCTCCCCCTCCCCCTCCTCCTCCTCCTCCTCCTCCTCCTCCTCTTCTTTTTCTTCTTCTTCTTTTTCTTTTTTTTCTTTCCTGCAACCCTCTCTTCTGTCTTGGACCCTGAGAGTCCAAGCTTCTTTTCTTATTTCTCAAGTTTTGTCTCCATAATTTCTCCTGCCAGGTTACCATTAGTGAGTAATCAATTCAAGGAAAAAAGAAGGCAATATAGCAGTAAGTAGGTACCACACACACACACACACACACACACACACACACACACACACGGACTGACGATCAGTTATTTTAACTTCACACTTCTTGTTCTATATTTGAATCTTGGTCTGAGATTCTATCCAAATACTGTCATGACAGGGAGAAGACCAGTTACTTCCACAGAAATGTACAGAGCCCTGAACCCACACAATGTACAGTGCATAGACCCTTCACAGTCAGAAATGTACAATGCCCTGAACCCTCCCAGCCCTCCCAGCTGTTTCCTAATTCTCTTCAGAGCTCAAGACCTAACAATCGCCAAACTTTACATCTGAGAACACACAGTACACACAGAAAAAGAAAATTGCCTACTCACGAGGATACAATGGAAGGAATCTGTCCGTTTTTGTGGTGTTTTGCTGCTGAGGTACAGGTGACCCTGTCTCATATCGAACAAATTTTGCAAATAAAATGATCATGGTGACCTCCAGGCCTATGGCTAGGAGCGGGAACTTGTACCTCATGTTGGTGAGGAGGGACAGGACAAACTGAAGGCTGCGGACGCTGTGAGAGGCTGATAAGAACAGAAAACGCTGTGTGTGTGATGGGGGGCATGTTCAATTTCCCCAGTGACATCACCAAAACTGGGCTGATTGGGTAAAATGCCCCGTCCTTAACTTCAATCGTGTTGAGTGTTGGTTTAACTATTAGAAGCTAAATCTATGCATGTATAATGGGACACACAAAATGATCAATTGCAAAGTTATATAGGAGTACATTTAATTTATTTAACTTAACTCTTGAGTGAGCATTATATCTGCAGTCTCTGTAGGAATTACAAATCTAACAAGCTTCATCAACTTTCTCCATGAAGTTAAAGCTTTACTTGGAGCCCTTCGCCGATGGCTCACGCCTGTAAACCTAGCTACTCAGGAGGCTGAGATCTGAGGATCACAGTTCAAAGCCAGCCCAGGCAGGAAAGTCCAGGAGACTCTTATCTCCAATAAACCACTGGAAAACCAGTAGTGGCACTGTGGCTCAAGCGGTAGAGTGCTCTCCTTGAGCTGAAGAGCACAGGGACAGCGCCCAAGCCCAGAGTTCAAGCCCCACAACCGACAAAAAAAAAAAAAAAGCTTTAGTTGGGAAGGCAAACAATATATGCAAATGATTGTATACAAACAAATAAGTAACAAAGTGGTATTTATATGGTATATTTCCAAATGATAGGAAAAGTAAGAATGAAATTTCCTTCATATAGAAATGAATAATGGTTGGAGAGCTGAAATTGTTAATATACATTAAACACATATTAAGTTATCATAATGCAACCCATAAAAATATACAATTTTTTTTAAAATATGAGAAAACACATATAGGGCAGAACATACTTGTATCTTTAATCCAGAGATAACACAACCATGCTGGCAATGCAGACTATTATAGAGCAAAATTTATTTATTTGTTTATTATTTTTTATTGTGAAAATACCATACAGAGGGGTTACAATTACATGGGCAAGGTAATGAATACATTTCTGATCAAGCATTGTTGCCTCCTCCTTTGTTTCCCCTTCCCATCCCTTCCCACCCACCCCCAAAGCTGTAAAGTTTATTTTTCAACATAACATATAGAGCAAAATTTTATCTTTAACACTTATTATGTTGGACCAAGGCCACTGTCTCTTGGAAGAATAGATAGAGGGAAGAGCATGAATCTTGGAAGACCAGAGCAGGTTTGAGTAGTCACAAGTGGTTAAGAAAAACTAGATCAGAAATCAGATTGGGAGGAAAAGAAAGAGCTCCCGGGGCCAGAGCTGGGTGGCTAAAGGCCATCCATTAGTATTAGAGATGCTAGATCATGATTGTTATCCCACTGACAACGGGAAGGAAGTAGTTTTGTCCATGTACAGATCATTTTCTTGACTGCTCACTTAGATATAAACATATGTAAATATGCAAGTAAATAAATAGTTTGGAATATACATTCTAGCCTTAGAAAAGGAGAGAAAGAATTTAAGTAGGGCTGAGAAACTGATAAGCAATTCAAGATGACCGTCTTGAATACAAACTTCTTCACCCCCCCCCTCCACCCCCTCATCCTGGAATTGGTCTCATGGCAGTACAGATCTGTGTTCAAGTGTTCAAGAATTTAGTGCTCAAGAACTTAGTGCTAGCAGTTACAGACAATTCTCTGCTTCTCTGCACTAGACCCATGTCCACAAGAGACAGGGAGAGAGACAGAGAGAGAGAGAGAGAGAGAGAGAGAGAGAGATGCTTTTCCACAACACAATGTGAAATATTTAGGACTGAATGATTTCTGAGATTTTTAGAAGTATACAGTTCAAACACTTAGAAACAGCCTTCTTCCTTCTGTTCTCTAGGGCTGGCTTCTTGTTACTTTTTGTTGCGATTCCTGTAACTTGGCTATGATGTAATTATAAGGAACAGGATATCATTGATAAGATGTTATCAGATGCTGTTTCCTAGCAACTTTCTTCTGCCCCAGAATCGAATGCAGGACCCTCTCTGGCATTGAGTCACTGCATCTTGGCCTCCTACCATGTGTGACAGTCCTTCATTCTTTCTTGTCTCTCATTATCTTGGCTTCATCCTCTAAGTAGAGAACAAATAACAACGATTCTCTAATAAAAATACGCACGGTAGTCACTGTACAAAATTAAACCGAAGGCCAGAGGAGGCGGCGGTGTAGAGAAGAGAAGCGGAGGTGTGGGGAGGGGCAGGTGGTTAGTGGTCTGGCCTTGGCAGTGGGAGGGTTCAGCTTTGGTGGCAGGGAAGCCACCCCCGGCGGGCAAGCTGCCTTCCAAAGATAAGGCTGCAGCTGAGGGCTTCCAGGAAAATATGGCAAGCCTTTACTTTGTCTCCCTCTAGAGCTTGCTCTCACTCGCCACCACGCCTTATCAGTCTACATGGACGTGGATATGGCTTCAGAGAAAGCATGCCGAGTCTTTTCCACATCCGCTGGTGCAGGATGGTGGCCAGTCTCTTGACGTTCGCTAACTCTGATCAGTCTCACAAGGTAAAACTTTGAGATGACTATTTTGCAGATGGTGGAAATGGATGAACTCAAGTAAAGGGTGGCATCCCCGAGCTAGGCCAGTTCTATTGGTGTTGAGGGAGGGGCAGAGGGCTCGCCTTGGGAGAATGCCTTGAAATTCTCAATGCTAGACATGTCCCGAGGCATATCCGTGTCCCACATGCTTATAACTGACCGACTCCTTCAAAACCAAGTAGAAAAGTGGCATTTCTAACAGTGGAGCTACACGAACCAAGAAGTTCCTCAGACACAAGCATCTGTCTAAGTAAGAGTGACAGGTGCCCAGGAGCTGGTGACACACCATCTGTGGTGTAGCTGCCCAGGAGGCTGAGACTGGAAGGTCTCAACTCAAAGCCAGAAGGGGCAGAAAAGTGCAGAACCACCAACCATGCCAGAACGGAAAGTGTGGCCCACTGGTCAAAAACTGAGTAAGAGTTAAGAGAAACCCTGCCCTGCGTTCAAACGCTGGTATTGGCACATCCAAAGAACAAAAATAAAAGTGAAAAAGAAGAATGAGGAACAATTGACTTAAAGCTTGAAGGGTAGTGGGTTCAGTGTTGTTGTTTTTTATATACTGGAAATTTTTGTTTTCTGCTAAATTAAACTTAAATTTTAAATTAATGGGTTATAGTTAGTGATAAATCATGTTGAATTCCGTGGCCATTTGAAATAGCCATCCATCATGGAAAGGATAAGCTCATTATGAATTATAATTTATGATTATAATTATAAATTACTTCACATCTTTTTTTGTGGAAATCACTTAAGATCTACTCTCTAAATTATTTTTATTGTTATTTTTATTACTATTTTGTGGTACTGTGGTCAAAATCAGGGCTTTACAATTGCTAGGCAGGTGCTGTACTTCTTGAGCCAGGCCCCCGGCCCTTTCCAATTAGGTCTTATCTGTATTCCCAAGCCAGCGTGGACTACAGTCAGCCTATTTATACGTCTCATCTAATTGAGATGAGAGGTGGATGCCACTGTGTGCAGCTGTTGGTTGGGGTGCAGTCTGGCAATTATGCCTGGGCTGGCCTCCAATCACATGCCTCGGCCCCTCAGACTCCCAAGTAGTTCGAATTGCAGGCGTGAGCTACCAATGCTGGCTTCTGCAAGTTATTATTATTTTTTTTTTTGGGGGTCCGGTCGTGGGGCCTGAACTCTGGGCCTGGTCGTTGTCCCTCAGCTCTTCAGCTCAAGGCTAGCGCTCTACCACTTGAGCCACAGCGCCACTTCTGGCTTTTTTCTTTTTGCTTGTGGTGCTGAGGAATTGAACCCAGGGCCTCAGGCATGCAAGGCAAGCGCTCTACCACTAAGCCACCTTCCCAGCCCTCTGCAAGTTATTAAGAATATAAAATATTACAACAAATTGTGTTCACTGTGCTCCGCAGTGGGCCCTCGGCTTCTTTCTCCTGTCTGAATGAAATGTGCACATCATTGACCAACATCTTCATAACCTCCCTGACCAGCATTCTGATATTTGCCTCTATGCAAAGCTTGATGTAATTTCATTGGTTTATTTCTGTGGGTATTTTTTTTTTGTCTCTTCTTCGTGGTTCTTATCCAAAAATATTGTTCCTAACAGCTGTATTGTGGCTTTTAGTCTTTTTTTTGTAGTAGGTTCATAGTTTTAGGTCTGACTTTTGGGTCTTAATCCATTATGTGTTGATTTTTGTATCTTTTGTGAGATGAGGGTCAAATTGTATTCTCTAGCATATGGTGACCCTTTTCCCAGCATGCTTTGCGGCAGAGACTCTCCTCACTCCATTGAGTGGTTGGAAGTGTTATAGAAAATCAGTTGCCTTGGCTTTGGGGGTGGGGGAAGGGGTGAGGGAGGGGAAGGGGAGGAGGGCTGGAGGCAGAGTCTGTGTGTCTGTCTGCCTGTTGGGACTCAGACAGAACCACTCAGGAGTCAAGGCCATTTCATTTTTTTGTTCTCAAAAATTCTTGTCTAGGAAATAAACAAGGAGAGAGAGAAAAACTCTCCCGGTTACATCTGGGCAAATAGCTAATCTTATCTGAACAATGAACTGATGGCTTGGGCCGATAACTTCCTTTTCAGACACTGTTTGCTTAAATGTGGCTTGCTTCTCTGTACGCACCAATGGGGAAACTGTTTAATCAGATCCAGAGACATAAACACAGTTTCCAAGTCTTCCCTATTCCAGAACAAATCCAGACAAGAAAGGGTGAGATGATTTAAGCCTATGTTGACAGAATTAATCTAGAGATGGGATGAGAGCTGAGAGACTCAATATCCTTGACCAAAGACCTTGGTTTACTGCTATGGAAATGGAGCAAGGAACCCTCATAAGAGCTTTGGGAAGCAGAAATAGTTCTTTCAAATTCAATGTTCAGTTAATTTAAAAGAATCGGCTAAAGAAAGCAATGGGCTGGGAAGGTGGCTCAGTGGTAGAGCGCTTGCCTTGCATGCCTGAGGCCCTGGGTTCGATTCCTCAGCACCACAAGCAAAAAGAAAAAAAAAAAAGCCAGAAGTGGCGCTGTGGCTCAAGTGGTAG